GTTAGCTCTCCCCTCCCATCCACGTCCCTTCTCCAGCATCTCCCGTATCGATTTTGTCGGCCACCCGCGTCGACTCTCCCATGTCGTCTCTTTGGTTGGGCGCGGGGCGCAACGCTCCCGGTCGCGGTGTGCCCCCCACCCGTCGCTATTGCCTCAAAGAACTAACATTTCCTAGCACCGGGATCGCTACGCTTAATCAATCAATCAATCAATCAATCAATCAATCAATCAATAAATCAAGCGCTAACCTACAATCCTTAAATGACAGACTCTTAGACTCCATGTCATACAAATCGCAAGGCATTAGGATAATTTAAACTCACGCTTTCTAAACATACAACGGAAGGGACAATGAACTCTGACTTCTTTAGCCTTGCAAAGGCTAGGGCAAGGCAGCAGACCATTGATTCAAAAGTCTTCCTCGACCCAATTGCACCAGACTGTCCACTGACCATTTGTCCGCCGCAATGTGTTAAGGTCGTCAGGGACTTCTACACTAAAGATGTACTGCTAAAAAAGAGGAACCAGGATACCGATAACTTCCTAGCCCAACTCCCCAAGCCATTTCCCCCAGACAAAGGAAGATCTGGAGCAACCGATCACAAAAGCGAAAATATGGACAACACTATTACAAATGGAGGAGGAGAAGACACCCGGGGGGTGGACGGTTTCCCAAATGAATTTTGGGTAGCACTCCGGATCCTGATGGCAAATTATTTAATGAGTTACTACCGGAAACTTTTGAAAAATGTGAGAGGAAGGGGTGATGGGGGAAGTAGTGAGACAAGGGTTCTTACACTCCTATAGAAACCATCAGTACTTGACCCAGCTATCGGTCGTGGCGCTTTCCTGTTAACGCGCTGCACCTTTAGGGCTTCGGGGTACCGGACCACAATGGCAGGAAGCGCCAGCCAAAAAAAAATTAAAACGGTACCTCGACGCTTTGACGAAAATTGGCGCGAAGGGGCATTCCAGGCTCGACATTGATAGCTAGGCCAAGTACTGGTGATTTTCTTATAATAACAAAAAAAGAGACCTCATCCTCTTCCCCTCCTAGCCAAACCACATCTCCCAGTCTCTCCTCTAAACCTTCCCCCAGCCAGTTGAACTTTCCTGTAAGTTTTGTAAATGATCCTGTTCTAATGAACTCCATTGGGCCCGAATTCTTGTTTGAATGAATTGTTGAATAAGTTTCAAAATTTCTTATTTTTCTAGTCCTACTTTTTTCATAACATGTACACAACGTCGGTACCATAGTGCCCACAATACTGCCTTTCTTCCTATATTACACAAATTTTGTTGAAATTGAATGTAACTGGGTTCTTGTATCCCAGCAGGATCGCCTGCCAATTCTAGGGCCAATCCAAACCAGTCAGTTTGCTCCACATTATCCACACATAGTCTCATCTTCTCCATAACAATCTTGCTCCTTGATATTGTAGGAAGATGTGTTTAATGGTTTCTCAATTTTTGTACTTGGAAATACTTATAGACAGGTTTGACACCAAGGCAGAGCTAACCATCTTAGCTCTAAGGATGAATGGTCTAGTAACCAATCATTTGTTGGCAAACATCTATGAAGTATTTTCCATTGTAGAGACACAAATTTTGCTAGTCTTTCCTTGAACCCCTTACACAGCGTGATATGCATGAGTGACTCTAGGTAAACGTTCAACTGCTTGACCCATCGTTCTTTTATAATTGCAGATACATCCACCCGCGGTCTCAACAATTGGTAAGATGCTTTGACCGACAATGATTGCAAGTTCTAGGGCTTGCTCCTTCTGGAAAATTTCCACACCCAATCCGCTGGATCAGAGGGAGCTCGGGAATAGGAATGTCCAGATGAAAAACTCTCCAAACTTTTGTGGAGGAACAATACACCACCCTGATTCTAAACAAAGTGTTGGAAGGGAAAGATGACACTCTATCTTGTTGTGAATGTGACAATTAATGATCTTTGTGAATCCTTAACAAGTTAACTATGTTTTTTTTTTTTTTTTTACCAAAGTTGGCCTTACCGTCCACACTCAGCTCCCAATCTCCCCTCTATCTGACTTCTCACTTCAAAGACGATCTCATCCTGACCAATAGCAGCAATAGTCGTTGTGTTTTCATCACCAAAACTGTAACGGACCCTTCACGTCACTTTGGCAGTCTCCCCCAGGTCGGCATTGGATTGTTTTCCTCCCTCAACTAATCCTCACGATTCCCCACATCTCTCTACCAGGCCTTATGCTCCTGCTACAAAGCAAGTCACAGGGCACCACCCCGGCCTCGGCCAGAGTCGTTCTGGCATCAGCAAACCAGAAGTACAAAACACCACGACTTTGAAAGGCATCAAGTTCCCATCAACCAAGATAATTGCAATTATCTCTAAATTCCAGAATCCGATAAGAGAAGAAGTCAGGTGCGGCCTAGGATTGTAAGGAAGCGAACTTAGCTAGACAACGCATTCAAAAGAGATTGAGAGTGATAATTAAAGATGATTGAAGATGATTAAAAGACGATTATACCTATGATACATGGTCACCCTCCTCCTTAACCCTCTAACCTGTTACTGCCTCCGCCGAAAAAGAAAATCCTAATCTTAGACTTTCCTCACCGGCCCCAGGTAGGAAAAGTCCCACACTCCCTCCCCTAACCCCCAAAGGCATACAACTATATATCACCCGCGGTCGGGATCCCGCCCGCGGCCGAGTGCGGGCATGAAACCCCGATAATTTTTTTGAGGCAAAAAAAAAGGCAATATATACATATATATAGGCGTGTAGATAAAAAAAAGCTCTACAGACCTATGATTTTTAGTAATTTTTTATGACGTTACTAGAAGGGAAAAAAATAAAAAGTTAAAAAAACAAAAAAAATAATAAAAAATAAAAATAAAACCGAAGATTTTTTTTTCTTCTTCATATTTTTAGTTTGTTGGGCCGGTGGCAAAACACTGGTCTACCATGTTTTTGTGGTTGTTTGCAAAAAAACAAACGACACGGATCGAAAAAGCACTGACTCCGCCAGCAACAATGTCGTGACGTCCAAACTGTTCGCACAAGAACCCGACCCTGACGTCAGGTGCATCACGTGGCTCCCCTGCTCGACCCACGTCTTCAACTTGATGTTGTCAGATACCGGGACACGAATGGAGTGGGCGAGGGACACCATCATCCGTGCTCGAGCTTTGGTGCGGCTCATCAAATCGCACGAAGCGGCCCTTGCCCTCTACAAGAGGAAGAGTCCTCGCGTCTCACTTATTCAGCCGGTCGAAACACGTTTTGCATCGTTTTTTTTTATGTTGACATGTTTGGCCGGGAGACGCGACGCGTTAGAGTCTATGCTGCACAACAACGCATGGGCTAGCATTCCGTGGGAGTGGAGACTTCTTCCACAAGCTCGGTGGGTGCGCCTTTAGATTAACGATGACCAGTTCTTGCATCAGGTGGAGTTTGTCATCCTTGTGATGGAGCCTGTCCATCATATTTTGAGGCGGATAGACAGAGGAGGGATGATGACTTCCATTGTGTACGAGTGGAGTCAGCATCTCGTTCGGCTGATGATTTGTCGATGGTCCCGCCAGAGCTTCTGACGTCGTGTGTGCGAGAGGCTGAGATGCGCCTGATGCATCTCTTGGAGCCTGCTCACGCCGCAACCCATCTCCTCAACCCCCGCTAACGGTCTATGAGGTACTACGAGTCCCTCCACATGACACCGGAGGACGCAGAGGTTGTACAGGAGTGCGATTGGTTTCTGCTTGCGCAGACGGGGGGCGATCCGACAGACAAATATTACCTCGTGGTGCGTGAGCAGATACGTTGTTTCCACGCACGAAGAGGTGATTGGGGTGATCATTTGTTGTCCGATGCCGAGGCCCAGGATTGCAATGGGGACGACAAGACGGCCCGTTGTGCGGCATGGTGGCTCGCCCACAGGGAAGCCCACCCTGAGTTGTGTGCCATTACTATCCGTGTGATGCACATGTGGATGTCCGCCTCTTCTGCGGAGAGGAATTGGGCGAAGCATGAACGCATTTAGACGGCGAAGCGAAACAAGTTTGGTTTTGCCAAGCTGGCACAGCTGGTTGAGATTACGATTAATCTCAAACTGGCTTTGTGCAGACAATATGGTGGTGGGTATGTTCTGCCTTGGATCATGGACGGTCACGAGGACCAGAGACCTCGTGCGGCCACGGGCGAGGACGAGGAGGACGGCGACCCGGACCCAGAGGCATGGGGGGCAAGACCAACCGGGACCGTCAGCGATGCTGAGCTCAAGAGGCAGATTGATGTGTTCGCACGCGACGTCACAGCCCCTCCGTGAGAGGTGTCAGTCATTTTTGGGCAGAGGGCAGCCACATTGCTACCTTACGACCATGTGCCTCCTCCCACAAAGGACGCCGACGTTCAGGGTGTGCAGGCTGGGGAGGATGTCATTGACTGGACGGACCCGGAGGACCTTGCACCGGGTGGGGAGAGGACCACGGAGCAGGTGTATTTCACGTACGGTGGAGGATCGGACGGGCTTGCACCTCGGACACCGGTCATCACGGACGACAAGTTAGGCCGGACAGAGGAAGTTGGAGATTGGCGGCCCCCTGCGGGTTCCAGGGGTTGCGCGGATCAGCCAAGTGGCAGGGCTGCACACCTACCCAGGCTACCCCCTTTGCCGAGGCGGAGGGTTCTAGGGGCTGACTCCAGCGGTGAGGACGAGCCTGGCATGGAGGAGCGTTTGACCGGCACACCGTTTGATCCCATCAACCACTCGTTCGTCCATTCACAGGAGCTGTGTCGATCGAGGAGGTTGGCAGGGCAGTGCACATTCGCAGCACCTTGATGAGATCCCAGTTGGGGAGCGGACTCCGGTCACTCCTCCACACGGCCGTCATCGTCATGACACCCACGACACGCCATCTTCATTGCGGACCAGCGATTTCAACGTCGGTGACTCTCATGGTGGATCGTCTGTCTTGCATTATAGGTATGCAGCCGAGTCCGTGCGCGGGACAGATGAGAGACAGAGAGAGGAGACGATAGAGGAGAGGGACGCCCGCCTTGATCGTGAGGAGGAGGCACGGTTGCAGTCTATGCCGAGGTGAGAGGGGAGAGAGGCATACGAGGCCGAGCAGCGCAGGTTGAGGGAGTTGGAGACCAGCGGATCACGGCCTGCTGGTGGATCGCAGATGGACAGTGGTGGACCGCCCGTTGGTGTGCAGAGCGATCGTGGCGTCGTTGGTGACACTGAAGGCCGGCTGCATGGAGATGACGGTGCTGAGGACGCAGGAGTGGATAGCTCTCAGGACGGCGACGGGAGAGAGGTCACAGGCGAGGATACCATCGAAAGAGTCATCGTTGGCCTTTGCGCGGCAGATGTGGAGGGTGGATTGCAGGGAGTCCATGGCACTTCACAGATGGGGGATGTTGTTGTAGAGGAGGAGGCAGGGTTCTGCACTGACCGTGAGCGCAATGACAGTGGTGCAGGACACAGTCCTGTCATGGAGGGTGGGGTCCACGTTCGCGAGGAGGCATGGTCGTCCCCACCGCGGGACGTAGAGGGAGACATGTCCCTCGCGTTGATTGTGAGGCCCCCGTCGGCTTTTTACGCCGATGAGGGCCACACGGGTTGCCGGATGGACGAGAGGCCAGGGGAGTCCACTCCACCCTCTCTTGATCAAGAGGAGTTGGAGCGCGTGGGGATGGAGGACCCTTACGATCACACGGGTCGGGGAACTGTATGCCCCACCCAAAGTATGCCTCTGCCTGCCCCATACTCTAATCTGCCCCTGCTGAGGTTTGAAAGCTCCCCTCCCCCCCAAAGTATGCCTCTGCCTGCCCCATACTCTAATCTGCCCCCGCTGAGGTTTGAAGTCTCCCTAAGAGTATCCCACACAGATCTGCTCATACCCCCTTTAGGGCTTCACTACCCACCTTGTGCAGCCCCTGCAGAGCAGAGCTCACCCTCCCCGTCAAACCAGCCTACCCATTTTCGAATGATAATCTCAAAGACTAACAGCAGACATGTTCTTCCATTTGGCGGTGAGACACGGAAGATGGGCTGTTAGGAGTGAAGCGCCCTTTCCCCATTTTAGGGATAGATTCAGCAACACTGATTTGGACACGGTGGAACTCAGGCAAATGGGCGTACATATACTGGCTCTGCGACCAGGTGCAGGATGACCATGGCCTTGGCTTCTGCTCAGCATCTATTGCAAACGTGTGGGAGGGTGCTGGCCTGGTTCATTGCCCTCTCCACCTATTTATTAGCCAAGACAGCCTCATGAGTACCGGGCTGATTGGTTGGCCATGATGAGATTGATGGGGAACTTTGTGTATTTGCTTTCCTTCATTACTGGGTTTGGATTTTTTGTTACATTGCCGGCATTTCCGTTAACTAGGTGCATTCTTTGCTTGTTGCCTTGATTGGTCACTGGGATCGCGCTCATTTGCGTTGTTGGTGGTTCGGCTAATTAGGTGCATCAATTGTTGGTCCTTGGATTGGAGATTGTTGGTCCTAGGATTGGAGATTGTTGGTCCTTGGACTGGAGGTGTGACTGGTGTTCGCAGCCCGTCAGGGTTGCGTTGTCCCCCCTTGAGACATTTCAACGTCAATCAAATTTCAACGTCGTGGTCGTCAGGAGGGTGGGCATTTTGAGGTTTTGGGGCTTTGCAAGGGCCAGGACCGCATAAGACCGGTAGCTGCCCGTAGGAGGCCGAGGAGGCCGTGGTCCTTAAGCCTTTTTCGAAAAATTGAAACCGTGTGGGTGCACTTTTCTCGAATAGCAGAGTACCTCGAATAAGCCTTTCTTGAAAAATTGAAACGGTGTGGGTGCACTTTTCTCGAATAGCAGAGTACCTCGAATAGAAATCGTACACGTATTCGAATACAACGTGTACCCTTTCTATTCTGATTTCGAAAAGGAAAAACTCTTGTATTCCAATACAATTACTACTTTTTTTTTTGGAGGTCAGCGCCTGCCCTTGTGCTCCCCAACACTGACATGCTGCATGTTGCAGGTGTCTCTCTCTCTCTCTCTCTCTCTCTCTCTCTCTCTCTCTCTCTC